TTGCCGTGTTCACAGGGTTTCTGTGTCCTTTACCTTACCTTTGCCGTGTTCACAGGGTTTCTGTGTCCTTGCCGTGTTCACAGGGTTTCTGTGTCCTTTACCTTACCTTTGCCGTGTTCACAGGGTTTCTGTGTCCTTGCCGTGTTCACAGGGTTTCTGTGTCCTTTACCTTACCTTTGCCGTGTTCACAGGGTTTCTGTGTCCTTGCCGTGTTCACAGGGTTTCTGTGTCCTTTACCTTACCTTTGCCGTGTTCACAGGGTTTCTGTGTCCTTGCCGTGTTCACAGGGTTTCTGTGTCCTTTACCTTACCTTTGCCGTGTTCACAGGGTTTCTGTGTCCTTGCCGTGTTCACAGGGTTTCTGTGTCCTTTACCTTACCTTTGCCGTGTTCACAGGGTTTCTGTGTCCTTGCCGTGTTCACAGGGTTTCTGTGTCCTTTACCTTACCTTTGCCGTGTTCACAGGGTTTCTGTGTCCTTGCCGTGTTCACAGGGTTTCTGTGTCCTTTACCTTACCTTTGCCGTGTTCACAGGGTTTCTGTGTCCTTGCCGTGTTCACAGGGTTTCTGTGTCCTTTACCTTACCTTTGCCGTGTTCACAGGGTTTCTGTGTTCTTTGTTTTGCCTTTGCCTTGTTCGCATGGTTTATGTGATCTACCGACCAACCGGCTGCACTTGGATTTGGTGTTGCCACCGACAGACCGAAATGATTAACTTCGATGTGGCCTTTGCTCCACGTGTGGCCCACCATGTAGTGGTCCCACGTGAGGGGGCATGTTGAAGTGGATCGACATTCTATTAAGAAGAAGCTTGATGCGGAAATATTAATAACGACAGTCTCTCTTTTGGCAAGTTGGTCATTGATGATATCTATGCACCAACTTGAGGGGGAGTGTTAGCAATAGTCAATTAATGAGGATTAGTTTGGCACCTACAATGGTTGGTAGCCTACAATGTTTAGTCAATTAATGTGTTAATTATGTAGTAAATTAATGTGTTAATTATGTAGTCAATTAATGTTTGGCACCTACAATATTTGGGGGGCTTGACTAGGTTGGTTGCCTAATTAGTTTGGTTGCCTAACTTGGTTGGTTGCCTAACTTGGGGGGCTTGACTAATGTCTTAGGAACTTGTATATATATGTGTTGATTGTAAGGAATGAAACATAAGTGAAAAATCAGAAAATATTCTACAACTCTCATTCTCTCTACACTTTCCACTCTCTACTCTCAATATTCTCTATGTTTTAGCACAAACAACTTCTTCAAGTTCACCAAAACCCTGCATTATAAAAACATTAAAACAAAACATTTTCATATTCTAAATACGAAACCCTAAATCTGAATGCTTAACCATGAATCTCAAAGCGAAACCATTTTAGACCTAAACATGATATCACCACCACCACTACAAAAATAAATAAATAAAATCATATTTTCATAGGTTGAGATAGAAGTGGTAATAGAAAAGAAATGCTGGATATCATAATCATTGCGAGCTTACAAAGAAACATAACACAAAATGAGCCTAGAAGAAGAAATCAACTGCTTCTATAGTAAACTCTTGTTTGAAATCAACAATGGAATTGGAAGAAGAGATAGAAAAATATACTAATACCTCTTTTTTGGGTTACAAAGTAGAGCAAAGGGGAGAAGAGATTGCTATACAACTCACAGTCGTAAGATCATTAGTTCACAAACAGCCCGTAAAAATATAAATTTATAACTTAAATTAAAAGGATAAAATCATCAAAGTATCCCAGTTTAGTTAGAATTCTTGGGGGGGTATTTATGTCCTTTTATTTCAGCTCAATTAAAAAAGCGAAAAGCAAAAACATCAGAGGGGCATTCCGAGAATTGAACTCGGGACCTCTCGCACCCTAAGCGAGAATCATACCACTAGACCAAATGCCCACATGCTACTGGTTGGCAATTTTATTTAATATAATAGATAAAAATCCGATATTTTCCCTCCAAAAAACCCTCGCTTAAATAAAACCCTCTCAGTCTGTCTGTAATTTTGATTTTTCCCTCCAAACCCTAACAAAAGCCCTCCAATCAAAACCTTCCAAATTCCAATTCAATTTCTCTGCTTATATCATGTCTTCCCCAACACAACTAAAGCAACCAAATTTCAGTCTGTTTGGGTAATGAAAGAGTGATTTGTTCTCTCAAAGATAGAGTGCTTGACCAACCCCTTTGGGCTATGGCTGTTTCTCACACTGAGGCTCAGACCTCTGATTTTCCGTCTCATCCATCTGGTAATGATGATCTTCAAAGATTGTTCTTTTTTATTCTCTTCCTGACAATTCTTCATGGAAATGGTGTTTTTTTATCCGTATGTTGCTGTTTTGATTTGCATTTCGAATATTAGGTCTGATTAATTAGAGTTTCTGTTGGCTTCTAATTAGGAAATAAACTCAAATGTGTCGATGAAGATGAGGAGCAGCAGCCACAGTTCCAGGACACTGTGCCCTTTGAAGATACTTTTGTGCTCGATAGCCAATCCATGGAGGAAACCCAGTTACTGGATCATTCGGATTTTGGTGACGAGACAGGGACTGGTATGCATGAGTACGAGGAAGAAGTGGTGCTTGACAGTGAGGACGAGGAAGTAAATGGAAGTAGAATATTGAGTGTTAAAGCCCATGTCTTGTCTAATCAAAAGCTCAGTCTTCATCGTCTGCAATGCGGTCCAGGTTAGTGTATACTATTTGCACTGGAGGTGAAATTGTGAAAATTTTCAATTTTTTTCATGGGGCCTTCTTTTTGTGTTGTTTTTGTTCATCACATCACGGTTGGTGTTATATAACTTAATGTTTATGTGGAATATGTGTTTAATGAAAGTAATTGATTTTGAGAAAACTTTTCTTTTATTTGAATACTTTGAAGGAGGAAAGGATGAGGGATCTCCGCCGCTCACAAGGTTAAATTACATTGGCACTCAGGAACCTGGGGGGGAGTCATCCCAAGCCAATGCACTTGATTTTGTGGATCATTTTGTGTCGTTGAATGACGATCTGGGTGGCTCTCCGGAAATTGATCACAGGAAAACCATCAAGGAGAAATCCCCTCCTGTCTCAAGGACAAAGGGGTCTCAAAGGTTGGCTAGGATGATTAAACTTGAGTCTCAAATTGAAAGGGCAAAAACCTTTGAATGGGTTGATCCTCCTGAGGAGCATGGAGGGGTGTATCTCTTTTATAGATTTTGTTACATATTCATAGGAAGCTAATCCAATGATTTAGATGAGTAGATGCTACATGTAAATCAGTGCTCTGTTCTTCCAGAGCATATGGGTTTGAGGGTTCAAATTTGAAGGGTTGATATAGAATCAGATTGCACAAAGTGAAAAGAAAAAGAAAACTTTGTCCATGCAAGCAAAGCCTCCGTAAGGAAATAATGGAATCTGATGAGAAGACTGAAAATGAAATTGTTAATGATTCGGAAGAACAGTTAGATACAAAATCGACAGGACTGCAGTCGGAAGCTAGTGCCATAGGAACAGATAGAGTTGACATGTTTGATGTTGGCTTTAACACTCAAATTGCTGCTGAAGCTATGGAGGCCTTAGCATATGGGGATCATCTTGACTGCAATACTGCTGATGCTTATCAAGGTATGGAGAACACTGCAGATGTTGTTTCAGGAGGTGCTACAAAGAATACAGCACTTTTGGAACATCCTTCTCTTCCAAATAGTGATTTTCCGAAGATAGGAGCCATTAACATGAATGCAAAGCGAAGAAAGCGTTCCACTAGAACAGTAAAGAGAAGATTTGCTTCATCTCAAAAGCAATCTCAGAGTCGGGAGTTAGATCCTGATTTGGCAGCACAAACAACAGTGAAAAGAAGCAGATTCTTTTCTGAATACTGTAGTAATTCTGCTGATGCCAACGGAAATTTGTGTAGACAGTCTCCTAAACCTACCAAGAATAGAAAGCTAGAGAGAGCTACTGGAGAGTCCAACCTTAGAGTGTTGGAGAACATTCTAAGTTCACCCATATCAGCTGGGCGCAGCTTGCTTGGTAAAGGCCAGTCTCAAGGGCATTGTAAGAATTATTCTTCTGTTTCCAGCCAGACTAGGCAGTCAAAGTCAGGGGGTAAGTTACTAGGGACTGAAGATGGACCCAACAATCCAGGAGAAAGGATGAACAATGTTATGGAGGATGGTATTATTAAATACAGAAGAAAGAAGAGATGTTTAAATGCTCATCCATCTGAAACAATCAGAGGGGTTGAGGGTGGATCTAACAAGCCAGTAGAAAGGACGAACAATGTTAAGAAGGATGATATTATTACCTACAGGAGAAAGAAGAGAATCAGCGCCAAAGAAAATTGTCCCAAATTATGTGTTTCGTCTGAAGGAGATAGAGACATAAAAGCCAGTAGTTTAATCTTAGATCTATGGGGCCATCCCAAAGGGAAAAGAACACGTCTCAATGCCCAGGGCAATTCTCGCAGAACTACTGTCTTCTTTACTCCTTCAATAGTTGATGGAAAGGACAGCTGTTCCCCTTGTGATGAAATGCCAGAAAGCTGCAACAATATGAAGGGGAAGGCACAATCATTATTGTTATATTGTTGCCCACCTCAGGATTCTTCGAATAAAGATTCTGACAGAACCTTGCTGGCATTGCAATCTGGTAAGCTAGATAGCACAGATCCTACATCGCTGGTTGATGTAAAAAGCCAAATATCAGTCGTATCATCTGGTTCAGAACACATTGCTCCATCCAACTCTACCACTGGCATAAACGTGCGATCATCAAAATATGTGTCTCATGATTATCACAGAAAGCCATTCAACAAAAACTTGCCCAAATCATCCCTTTTGAAAGAGCTTATTGGACTAGGTATCCCTGAGTCAATAATGGATTTCACGTGGAAAGATTTGAGAAGGCGAAGAAATATGGCATATGTTCAAGTCCTGTTTAGCCAGCACTTGGATGATGATATCATTAAGCAACAGAAAAAGGTAGATTTTGATTTTGCTTGATTTTGAAACAGCTATATGATCCACATCTAATGTTTCCTCTTTTCTCCTAATAGGTCATTGCACGACTGGGTCTATCCATTGCATCATGTTCTATTGATGCAACACACTTTGTGGCAGATCAATTTGCGCGTACAAGGAATATGTTGGAATTCATTGCTCTCGGTAAACCAGTGGTAACACATTTGTGGCTTGAGAGTTGTGGGCAAGCAAACTGTTTGATTAGTGAGAAAAGCTACATTCTGAGGGATGCCAAAAAGGAAAAGGAAATTGGCTTTAGCATGCTTGTTTCACTGGATTGCGCAAAACGGTGTCCGCTTCTAAAGGTAATGTATAAGCTTTTGTTGTTCGTTTGACTTAAAGATAATACTGTTTTTCTTTCCTCGGTGTTCTTATACTGATGTATGTCTTTTCACCTGTTTGGCCTTATTGTGCTGCCTATAACATAGTTTCTGGTTAACTAGCAGGGTAGAAAAGTCTTCATCACGCCAAACATAAAACCTGATAGAGAAATGATGATTAGCTTGGTGAAGGCAGTTCAAGGCCAGGTATATGTATTTTCATTACATACATAATGTAGTAGTTAGTATTCATTGTTGGTTTCCATGATTTTATTACCCTTTTTATGCATGTTTAAATTTAAATAAATATATGTTCCTCAGCCAGTGGAGAAGGTTCAGATACCTGCAGCAAAGGATAAAGAGAGTTTGGAGGATCTTTTGATTCTTTCTTGTGAAGAAGATCGTGCGATCTGTCTGCCTTTACTTGAGAAAGGTAGCGGCATTTCATCCATCCTTTCAGAGGATCCTTTCTTTCATATAAAATTGTCTCGGTTGGTAACTTGAGACTCTTGTAAAATATTATGCCTTGCAGGAGCGGCAGTTTACAGTTCAGAACTCGTGCTAAATGGCATAGTTATTCAGAGACTGGAATACAAGAGGTCAATACTATACTTGTAAAAGAAACATAAGCCTAATTAGTGTGCTTTGGGAAATTAGTCTAACAAGTCCTTGTTTCTCTATTTCTTTGGCTCTGCAGACATCGGCTCTTCACAGCTCTTGGCAAGAGGAATCGCCCATAGGCCTTAAGCCTTGGGCCCTTTCCGCATAACCAATAAAACTCTGTAAAATCATGTAATTAGTGTTGTTTTTATCATATCGGTTCGGATTACATAATGTTTTCCAGATTGTAGTGAAGCTGCCAAAGCACGACGGCTCTGGTTTAACCTGGTAGACAGTCCTGGAAATTGTTTGGATGTCGGAAGGATCAATCCTTCTATCATTTTGGTTCTTTTTACTTTTTTATAAGGAAATGAAAAGGGCTGAAGAGACGATCAAAATGAGTTAGGGGAAGAAAAGCTTAAAATCCAACATCATTTACAAGATCCATATGGCACTGCCAACACCATCAGATCCCAAAACATGCTCTCGCAATTGGCCTCACATTTGAACTTTGTATCTGACTGCACATTTTTTACAAAATGCTCTTACAAATACGAACTGTCCAAATAAGATGTGCGATTTTCAGAAGAGATACAATTGGCCTACAAAAATGTTAAATTGCACAATTTCCACTACTATTACAGGAAGGATCCTCTCACGATCCCACAATTTCCACCTTTAACAACAAATGACAAGGTCTTGGTTCACATCACATGATGAAAGCACAATATACCAAATTATGGCAGAAGACTTCTCGAACGAAGGTGCTGCAACATCAGTGATGTTCCCTGGTTTTCTAGTGATTGCCTGTGATGAGAAATACCATGTAAGTCCAATGAGAAAACCAGAAAGTCCCAATTACATGATATCCCACCCATAAAATAGGGTAACATGGTTACTCATACACTATAAAATCCAAAAATGCAATAATTGTTGAAACGAGAGACTTCTCTTCTCTAGTTTTTCCTTTATCTTGAAAAGTTTAAGTGGTACTCATATTATACTGGAGAACTTATAAAAATGATCGAAACTGTTGCAACTTTGGATTTGACAGTTGATTTATAAAGAAATTGAAAGCTTCATTTGTGCCCAACAATCATATGAACCACAGGTCCACAGAATTTTGCACTGCATTTTTGTTAAAACAAGATGCAAATAGATATATTTGGTGCCTACATCATTAACTTACACATTGTTGCAAGATGCCTCAGTTTTCTTAAGTACAGAAATACCACATACCAATTTGACCAGATTACTGACTAGAATCGGGAGGTTGGGTATTGGGATTAAAACCATCGTAGCCTCCACTTGTTGGTGCTGTTTGATTGGATTGATACATTGGAGGTGGAGCCATAGAAGGGACACCAATAGAAGCATTTGGTGCTGTGCTGCCAGGAACTGTTGGTGGAGGATTCATAGTGGGAGGCCTCATCGGAACATTTAATTGACCAGGCATTCCAGGAGCACCAGGTGGAGCCATCATTGGCATCATGGGTGGAGCAGAGCCATATCCTCCTGCCAACACCAGGAAAAAGCAAAAGATTCAATACAAAACATTATTACGATCATATAGTAAAATTCTTCTGCCAACAGTATATTGATGCATGTTTGACCAGTAAAAATTATAATTACAACAACAGGGTAGCAATAGGATCTAGAACACAGCTGCATCACAAGGTAACACACCATTGCAATTGTTCAGAGCCATGGAGAAAGGGATGCCAATTGATTGCATAAATTTTTTGATTCAAGATTAGATTCAAAGAAACAACACAGGTCACCAAAGGACAATAATTAAGTGAGCACAAAAAGGCATTCCATTTTCCCTGCCTACAAGTAACGGAAGTCTCATGTCAAGTAGGTAGCAGGACTAGCAATCCATCAAGTCGATAACAACAGAGTTACATATATTAAAAACCCAGAATGAAAAATACCAGAACAATAATGCAAAACATTGGTTTGGTCAAGCCGTGCAAAAAGTATGCATGCCAACATGCAAAATACATACACGAATAAATCACAGAAACAGCACTACAATGGAATGCCAACGAGAAATGAAGATATACTGTATTCAATATTACCTGGAGCTCCAGGCATAGGTCTTGGCAAAACTGGAGGCCTCATCCCTGGGACCATTTGTGCACCTCCAGGCATTTGTGGCATACCAGGTGTTGGTAGAACAGGAAGACGGGGCCGCTGAGCCATTAAATGTTGATTGTAAGCTGCACCAACTTGCCCATAAGCTGCAGCTTGGCCAAGGTGCTGGCCAAGGTGCTCCTTGATTCTTTGGTCAACCAAACTTTGGGTTTGTTGCTCCTCAAATTTCTGATAGTACAACCTCACGTTTGCCTGAAGTTATGCACAAAATCAGTGAAGGGGAAGGTCAAAAGGAAGTGGTGAGTTACTCTAATGACATAGAAACCAACAATACCTTGTGTTTATAACCAGCATTGTGTTGTTTTCTAACTGAAGGCTGAAAAAAAATAGGAAAAGTACTTGTCAGCAATAGAGATGATCATGATTTCACTTCCTCATTGCGGACAGTGTGCTTAACATGAAAGATGCCACAGAATTTTATTTTTAAATGCATGCATACGAAAAAGAAAATTAGATATCTCTGAGTTGCAAGTGATGAACACATGGGCAACTAAAAAAAGCTCGATGGCAATAACCCGAAAGTTCCCAACGTCGATCAACTAGCCGCTACTCTATTCTCCCATTTATTTTGACTAAACCCAGACTCATAAACCCCATATAAAAAATTTCCGCTCAATGTGATTAACTCTTTAACTTTAGCAAAAAATTATCAAAAAGCAAATTGAAAGCTCTCGGAAAAAGTAAAATCATACGTGCAAATACGATTCAAAAACAAAAAAGAGGAGAGTGAGAGAGAGAGAGAGGTGTTACCGAATCGTGGGTCAAATAAGTGTCACAGTAGTCACAATAATACCTGAAAATTAGAACCATAAACAGATTAAAGATATAAAAAATTCATGTCATATGGATCAGAATCGTTAAAGCTATCCAATGAATGAGATAGAGGTGTTACCGAGGCATTGCTCTGAATTCGTCGCAGGAATTGGGTTGAGAATCGAGAAGTAGTGAAGCTGTACTAATCCAGAAAACCCTAGGTAGAGCAAGAAGAAGAAGCTTCTGGCTACCGGTGAGAGAAAGACCAAGGTTTTTAACTTAGTGGGCTGTGGGCCTCTTTATTTAAACGAAGAAACAAATGGAGTCCGTGTTACAAAACGACTCGTCGTTTTTTTTATTTATCATACTCAGTGTTTCTTTCCCATTCGACATAAACAGCGCAAGTCATACCTCCAAAGTCGGAAATCGAACGCAAATCCGCTTCCGGAAACTCTGCTTTCAGGTTCTTTCTACGTCAGACCTTAACTTTTGTTTGATTCCCGAGAAAACTGAGGAAAAGAAAAAAAGAAACAGAATATGTGTTCCAATGTTGTTTTTTTCATGGAAGTGGAAGTTAAGCTAAGCCAAATAGTTAAAGGTTTTAGCCAGAAGCTTCAATTTTCTCGGATCGCAAACATTTTAGAATTCTCAGTCCAAAAATAAAAATGTTCGCTTTTTTTTTTTCTTGTAACTTTTGTAATATTTTTAATTGAAATATTCAGGGGACGATGAAAGTGAATGAGAAGCAGAGTTGGGCGGTGTCGCAGTCCGATGTTGTTTATCATTTCGGTACGAGTGGACTTTCCGTTGCGGCTGCCACCGCGGTAACTCATCCTCTAGGTAATTTCTGAAAGCAAAAAAATGTACTCTTTTACTTTTTCAGCTTCCAATATGTTCGATTGCCTGGGTGAATTTTGCACTTGTAATCTTGTGGTGGGTGCTTGAAATTTGTAATCAATTGGTTACTGTCAAATGTGAATGCTAAATGGATAAAATCAGAGCTCATTGTGTGCTTAGTGTTATAGCATAATTTTGTTGTTAATATGGTGATGCATAGCTTGTTGTCTTCTCCAAAGTCTGGTTTGGTTGGTCTGCATAAATTTGGGATTGCTCCAAGTGTCATAGAGATTATGGTATTAAATTTGGTAAATGTAAAGATTTTTCATTAATGTCAAATTGGGATGCAGATGTTCTTAAAGTTAGGCTGCAAATGCAACTTGTTGGCCAGAAAGGCCCCCTTACTGGAATGGTATTATTCCCCAGCTCTTTTTAGCTCATGCATATCTTCATCCAATTTATCAGAGGAGATTGTGATAGGGTTGATATACAGGGACGATTGTTTCTCCAAACTTTGAAAAACGAAGGGCCAAGATTTTTGTATCTGGGGTTGGCACCAGCATTGACAAGGTCTGTTCTTTATGGGGGTCTCCGTTTAGGCTTGTATGAGCCCTCAAAGTATGCCTGCAATTGGGCTTTTGGGTCGACCAATATTTTTACGAAGATTGCATCTGCAGGATTTGGCGGTGCAATTGCAACTGCACTGACAAATCCAGTTGAGGTTTTGAAGGTAATGCCGCCACGGAGGGCCTAGTTGAACATATTCTCTCTTTTTTTCTCAGACTTCACTTTAAGATCATTTGCTCCCTTCCATTAGGTGCGGTTACAGATGAATCCACACTTGAGTAAAGGTGGGCCAATGGGAGGACTGCGTAGGATGATTTCTGAAGAGGGATTGAAAGCTCTTTGGAAGGGAGTTGGCCCTGCTATGGCCAGAGCTGCTACGTTGACTGCATCACAACTTGCAACATATGATGAAACCAAGCGGGTCAAGTTCTAAGCATGCTATTTTTCGCTTTGAATATCCACGAAGTAATTTCCACTGTTTCTAAATCATTAATGTTTGATTGGCAGTATGAAAAGAATCCGTCTTCATTTTTCTTTTAATTCTGTCTGACTTTCAGGTTTTGTCCCAACTTCCTATGATTGCAGATATTGATCGGGTTGACATCACTTGAAGAAGGATTCAATCTACATCTCATGTATGTATGACACTATCGTGAACGTTCTTATTGTCTATCTAAGATCCTTCATTTTCTTCAAGCGAAGTCGATTAACTTGGTGTTCTGAGAACTTGTCACTTTGAAAACACTTTAAAGTGGCTGCCACTAAAACGCATGCAGTTGCACACAGAAGTATAAACTGAAGAAGGATCAAGATTATGTTTATTTGGGACATATAAGTTGATCTGGAAGTTGTATGACTAACAGAATAGGAGCTTTTTGTAAAGTCTCATGTTTGTTTGAATTTTCCCATAAACTGGTAATCCCAAGAGCTAGCCTGGTGATTCTCTTCCAGGTTGACCACCATTCTGTATGGGATTATTTATATTGTTCTTGTTTAAAACAGAAGCAGCTCATCTTAGAATGTAATTTGAAAAGTCTGTCAACTTTGTAGTTTTTTCAAATATATTGATAAAAACTAACCATATTTTGCACCTTATGAAGCTCAAGCGCTGTCGCAGGCATGGCGAGTACCCTCATAACTGCACCAGTGGACATGATAAAAACCCGTCTGATGTTGCAGAAGGAATCTAAAAGGATGGGAAGCTATAAAAATGGATTTCACTGTGCATACCAGGTATACATTACATTTTCTCTTCTTTTCTACTGCAGTTTAATGATGCTTTTTTGGTGTAATTGGACATGATAACCTGGTCCTTTTTTACTTGTCAGTGTAGCTTTTATTTTACATAGTTCGTTGTAGACTATGACTTTCATTGAATCTCAGGGTTACCTATCTTTCTTATCTAATGTTCTATAATATTTGGTTTCAGGTTATGCTTACAGAAGGCCCCAAGGGTCTTTACAAGGGGTGAGTTTCTCTTCAGTCCTAAATACTGGTGCTTTTTCGAATACACATCTGGTTCCATACAATCTAAACGCACTTATTGCTCACTTGTTGAAAGTTAATTTTGCTGAAAAGCTTCAAACTTTCCAATATCTGTTAGAATGTATTGGGATTGAGTAACTACAGAGAATTAGTGGTGCCTAATCTCTTAGAATGCCATTGAGTACAATATTAATAAGGTGATAACTTGTCAGGAGCCTTGCAACTTTTGCAAGATTGGGTCCACAAACTACAATTACCTTCATACTGTGTGAGAAGTTGCGTGAGCTTGCTGGATTGAACGCAATCTAGCCTTGGGATCAGCAATCTGCAATCGCCATCGCCGACTCTTCTGGCTGTAATGAGTTCTTTTCAAGTGGAAGATAAGCTCACACCACATTCCCACAACTTCCCATTTAGGGGAAGGGGAGTTTTTTTTACTATACTAGCTTTGTTCTTGAGTTTTCTAGGTGGTTTTACAGTACCATTGCATTATTAAGGAGATCATTATGAATAAGGTCTGCGTGTCATTATAGCCCTTAGGAAGAGGCACCAATTATTTTGATCACGTTGTTTTGTGTACCGTGATCCCACATTTTTTCGCTCGAACCTGGGTGTATCTAATTGAACAGTGTATCTCCAGTAACTCTTGTCCCTTGCATTCGTGTTGTGTAAGAATAAAAGAAATGGTGATTCATTGCATCACTCCATGGTTTTTATATTTTTTGTGTAACAAGCTCCGGATACATGCAAACAGTCGAATAATGAAAGTTCATTAATCTATGTTACTTTTCCATTATCTATCTACTGTTAAGCAACAAGATTTATATGCAAGCCAGCCAGACCCCATTGTATGTGTTTGATTAGAGATTTAGGTACAACCAACTTGTATTTTGACTTTAAGGAGAGTTTTGCCAAATGGGTCGTGGTTCTGCATACTTGTGCAGTCAAAGACTTCAAATCTTATAGCAGATCAAATTAATTCAAAACAAACCGTCGGCCCACTTCTAGCAGTTTTGGACCCCGACCCAGGAGATATTCCGGCTTGCCACGTGGCATTCAAGGATTTGGGTCCCACCAGCATGTGAGCTGGTTCTTGGTGGCGTCCAATAAATATATTTCCTAATCATTATCGAAAGTGGATTTTAAATGGGATCATTTTTCCTCACTACTTTAACACAAGGTGTACACTCATCATCCTTATCAATATTTGAAATGTATCTATTAACATATTCATGGTTGTATAAATATAAAATAAAAAGTTAATTATAGTTATGTCAAGGGACACGTGTCAAGTGTTGAAAATGATGGTGTGAATACACATTGAGTTAAAGTGGTGAGCAAAAATATGTTGAATTTTAAATAGGATATATTTTCCTTTTTCCATCAATAAAATGTTTTCTTTGCTTTCTTCTTAAAAGGAAACTACCTTTCACTTTGGATTTAAAGTAAATATTTTTGGTGGAAAAGATAATATATTACGATTGGAGAAGTAAACAAAAGCCATGCATGCCTAAGTTTAAGTGAAAGTCGGTGGTTTTGTCTCTGTGCACGCAAGCCCTGCAAGTTGCAACGTTAAACAGTGATGTGGCGCTGTAACTGTTGTTGGACAACCTTGGAGCCTTTTTGAGGAGAAGCAGAAGCAGCAGTAGCCTTGGCCTTTGGCGGGACAGTCTGGCGTCCTTATCCTTTCGCCACGATTTCCACGCTAAACTACTCTCCTACCCTTCCCTCTTTATTTACCATCCTGCCCCCCCTCTCCCCTACGAAATCCTCACCTGCTTTCTTCCTGAAGACGCGGCCTTTCTTGTGAAAACGACCCCATCTTCAGTACTCAACGACTCAACGACTCAACAAACAAACCCCATCACTTTATTTTTAATCCAAATTGAAGTTTTCTTTCAAATAAATATTTTCGAAATGCTATAAATTATAATGATCACAGTTTTTTTTTTATGCAAGTATTCTTTTCATTAATATTATATCATAGAATATAAACTTATTATTTACATATATTATAACACGTGAATTAGTATAACGACAAGATCCAAAAGTTTTTGAACGGGACATACATGTATTTTATGGCTTATTATATACATGTCTTCCTGTTGCTACATATGCAGGAGGAATGTTGAGAATGGACTAAATAAATACATGAAGGGGATGGGCATGACATGGGAATTAGGGTGTCTTTCTTTTTTGTCCATTCCATTGATAAACTGGTCGGAGTAGCTCGTATTCACATGCCCAAATTGAGCAACTCTTTGACATGCCACTGTTTTATTTAATTTTAAAATGAAAACAGGTAGGAGAACTTTCTTTCACAATAATTAAGTTTTTACACAAATATAGAGTTAGCAAAACTTTGTCCTTTGTCCTTTTTTTGTTGTTGTTGTTCGTCTTTTGAATATAATTGTTGTCTACATTGCCACGTTGATGTTGAGTGAGGGCTGTCATGTTTGGGCAGTCCCTCAATTTTTTGGAATTTTTTCGTTCTTTTTGTTTCGACAAGACTAAATTGGGGAAGTTTTTTTATTTTTTTGAAGTGTAATAAATACACGTAGACTTGGGCGCATCGTAAATTCCTCCGCTGACGACAATGTAAGGGTATAAAGGTAAAATCGTCCACACTCCTTGCGACCAGTCCACGTACAAATTGACCCCAACGCATAGCTAGATGACTTAACTGGAACCGCTCTAAAGTGGCAGTCCCGCAAATAAATTGAAATCCGAGGGTAAAAAGCTATTTTGATAAATAAGTAAATCTAATGAAGATCCAACTTTGCCATCCAGGAGCACCCCAATTTTCCATTCGACGACTCCACGAAGAAAAAGAAATCAAAATCCCTTTACACGGAGAGAAAATCTAGAGAGAGAAACAAGACAGAAAATAAATACAAACGAACCGAGAAGTTAGAGAGAGAAATAGTGAAGTCATTAATGGCGGAGGGGAAGAAAGAGAGAAAGTTGAACAGTGAAGACAGCGTGAAGCTGTTCGTCGGTCAAGTGCCGAAGCACTTGACCGAAGCTCAACTCCTCGCAATGTTCAAAGAGTTCGCTCTGGTAGACGAAGTCAACATCATCAAGGACAAGACGACGCGCGCTTCCAGAGGTTTCAAATCTCTCTCTTTCTCTCTCTCTCTCTCTCTCTCTCTCTCTTGCATTCTCTCTACTAGTTCGTGATTTGGTTTTGAGTGGAGAGTAATGTGCGTTCTTGGTTTGGCTTTTGGTAGAGAATGTGTGTGATTTCCGCGATTTAGAAAATTGTGTTTGAGATTTGTGGCGTTTGAGTGCCTGAATTAGTCTTTCAAACCCTAATTTGTTGCTTCGGTGTTTGTGTGTGTTTGCAGGGTGTTGCTTTGTGATATGTCCGTCGAGGCAAGAGGCAGATAAAGCGGTCGATGCGTGTCATAATAAGAAGACTCTGCCCGGGGTTAGTGCAATTTGTATCTGTCTAAATGGATTGATGTGCTTCTTTTGTTGTTCTAGTTGGTAACTTCAAACTTCGGAGAATGTGATTGGAATCTATGCCCCCTCTAAACTATGATTAGAATGATTTTCATACGTCATCCGTAAGCTATCTTTTAATGATTGAACACTTGACATTATACAGGAAGAGCAGGCGTGTAGTCTTTGACTAGTTGTCGATCACAGATTCACTGTTATACTTTCTTGTGTGTATTTGAACATTTAATAGTAATTAAACCATACCCACTGACTTAATTCGACAATGTTGACGCTTGTGACCAAAACGTTCTGCAATTAATATTCCATAGGAAAAGTGAAATGACTTGCCTCATAGTAAAGTTCCTTTGTTTTTTTTTCCTAGTTAAATTACAATAGGCTCCTTTGGCAACAATTTCATCCTTTTTACAGAGGGCTAGCCAAATTTCACTTTAGGTACTTTCTATATGCAAAATGAACATGTTGCCAATCACATAGGAGGTGCTGTAGGATGTAGTTGATGAACTGTATATTATAATTTGCATATGGTAATGCAGATTATCCTGCCAACATCTTGCAGTGGAAGAGCATGACCATAAATAAGAAATGGGGTATAATGTCCCACAAAATAAGAGCAGAATCTCTTCATATGAACTTCTTGAAGTGAAAAATTGGTTCTGCCCCGTCAAAGTTGTAAGGGGCATGATGATTAGTAAGCCATAGTACCCTGAAAAAATTTATGCAATCAAGCCAAGCTTAAATATAGCTGTGGTGTCAATTTACAAAATAGTTAAACAAAGAAGGTTGCATGCTTGTTTCAGAAGATACGAATATCAGTGACCTTAGTTAGATCATGTGAGTAAACTATTGACCATTTGGCCCACATTTTAGGCAATCTTCTTTTGGTACAGTATATCCACTAGAAATCATGATTAGAAGATTGATATTTGGACAACTTATTATAAAATATGTGCTTATGCAACTTGGAATTTTCCTGGCATAGGTCTTAGAGCGACTGGGGGAGCCTATGTAGGCCTTGCTGGACCTTCAAGTGGTTGCCCAGGCAAGATTCTCAGTTGGGCTCTTGCCTATGCCTGCTAATGAATTGTGATTCAACTGATTAGTGTGACTTTACTCGTTTGTATTACTTGATGGAAAACATAAAGTTAACCAAAATATTTTTGGCTGTCCGCATTATTTCCCTAGGCTAGTGCTAACTTTTCACAACTTGTGCTTTTAGTGCTCTTGATGTGTTTTGTTATTCATTCTGATTCAAAGCCACCCTGTTCTTTTGTCCAATTCAGGCATCTAGTCCGTTGCAAGTGAAGTATGCTGATGGCGAGTTGGAAAGATTAGGTGTAATATATTTTCATGATTTAATTACTGATGTTTCCTATGAAGTTTTGTTGAACCAATGGTTATTGTATTTTCTTTCATCCCATTTATTTATTTATTATTATATGGACCCTGATTACTAATCTTCGCCTTCCCCTTCAATCCAGAACACAAGCTCTTTGTTGGTATGCTTCCAAAGAATGTTTCCGAAGTTGAAGTTTCTACTCTTTTCTCTAAATATGGAACAGTAAAGGACCTGCAGATATTAAGAGGTTCTCAGCAAACGAGCAAAGGTAACTTTTCCCCCCAGGGTTGGTTTATTCCTAGGGAATCTCTAAAATATACTGGTCCTCAACTAGTAAATGAATTTACCATGTCTTTCTCTTTCTGGCAGGCTGTGCATTCTTAAAGTATGAGACAAAAGAACAAGCTCTTTCTGCCCTGGAAGCCATGAATGGAAAGTATAAAATGGAGGTTTGTGTCTAATACATGCTTTGGTGGCTGGAAATGTATATTGAAAATTGTTTATGTAATTCGTATTGGATGCTCTGTTTTCTATTGCTGGCTGGCTTCCCCCCTTTCTAAATATTTACATAGACACCTGCATTGGCAGAAACATATATTCTTTTCTGAGTGAGTGGACAATAATGATGAATAATGAGTCAGCAATTGAAGACTTTGTCTTATTATGAAAGTTAATTAAAAGGCTTGTATGCGTACTAATTGACTGATAGAGTTGAATTTTATCATTGACATTTGCTTATGGATAATGACAACTTGGTAGTATGGATGTATTGGTACAATGCTCTATAATCCACTCTTATGGCTTGCGTTCTTTTTGGGTTCAAGTTTTCCTTTAGTTTTCAAGTGGGCAGACA